AATAATGTTAAGGTCGAATTTAGATTGAAGTAATCAGAACTAAAATTGAAAACCAAATATTAGAAAAAAGAATGTTCCTAAGATCATAAATATAATTTATATGGATGAAAACATCATTGTGTACTTTCCTTCATTTCTCTTTTGTATAATAGGTTTTATTTATTAGTAGAAATATTACAAGTGAGTTTAAATTTGTAGTAGATAAGAATTATTCTGGTTCTGAGTCATATGATTATGGCTAATAGATCAAGGTTAAGATGATTCCTAAAAATGCTTACAGATGACTGAAAAAAAAGAGCATAAAATAAGCTTACTGTTTCACCAATCTTTCCAATATTTCCTTGATCTCCTACTTCTCCCTGTCAATAAAGAACATAAAATTGCAAAAATGATTATTTTTCAAATAAGGTTATTTATGGCAGATCTTCTGTTTTCCTTTCTAATGTAATTATCTAATTATAGGCTAGAAAAAGGCAAAGGAAACCTAAGTTATTCAAAACTGTTATAGTATTTCTATAGAATGTGGTCTTTCCTCTATTTTCATTCAAATAGTAATAACCTATATTCTTAAATTATATTCTCCTATTTGTGACTTTTAATCACTTTTAAAACACTTTTATAGATAAGTTTTTTAAAAATAAAATATTTATTGAGGTGTACTCTGTAAAATGCAGAGTGGTAGGCACTGTGAAAGATATTAAGAAGAATAAAAAAAAAATAAACCTTGCACACAGAGATGCTCTATTTGCTCAGGTAGAACAGAAAACATGCCACAGATTGAGTATTAAAGGAGCTCTATGAGCAGCCACCCTGTCAGCTGGGGTAGCTAGAGCTGGCAACACTGGAGAAGCAACACATATTCATAGCCCCGGAACCACAATGTTGCAGTCCATAAAGCTCTGAAAATCCAAAGTTTTTTACAACTGATTTGGTGGCACACTTGACCTAACCTGAATTTATTTGGCAGCAACACTTAATTTGATCTGAGTTCATGTATAGCCTTGATTTATCACAATTAATCTGAACATCCTTACATTTCACCACAGAAATATTAATGTACCTGAGTATGATCTGCTGTTCCACAGCCTGCTGGCAATGCTAAGTAAAATTCAGTCTATGCACCATATTACTTTTCAAACAATCCAAACATTATTAATTTCAAATAATGCATTATGAAACTGTATCGGAGCTGGGCTCTGAGGAAAAGGTGATACTTACGCTGGTGATGAGACAGGGCCATTTTTAGTGGTGGGGGATGGCATGAGCAAAGGTATAGATTAATGAAAGGTAAAAGACTAAGTTTAGAGTACCACATGAACTGATCCTAACAGGAATGTACATTTGTTTAGAGAAACAGGGGATTAAACCATCAATTACTATCTATAAATTAGTAATCATATTGCAGTGTGGAGTAGTAAGATTTTAAGACACTGAACAATACTATAGCCACTAATGATATGTGGCTACCATTTAAAATGGGCTAGTCTGAATTTAAAGGTGATGTAAGTATAAAATACACATCAAATTTCAAAGACTTTGTACAAAAGAAGAATATAAAATACCTCATTAATAATTTTAGTATTGATTACATGTTAGATATTTTGATATCTTGGGTTAAATAAAATATTATTAAATTAATTTTACCTGTTTCTTTTTACTTCTTTTTTGTTTGTTTGTTTTTTACTTTTACTTTTTAATGTGGCTCACATCTGTGGTTCACATTTATATTTTGATAGTACTGATTTTAAGCACTGAAACCAAATACTCACCATGAGTAATAAACTTTCAAAATCTGTACAAATTTTCATCTCAATTTTGGTATTCAGATAAATAGTAAAGAGTAATCCATCATAATCCATTGTAATACCTACTTTTTGATAGCTCATTAGACAGCTTTCATAGAACATTTATGGCAGGATAATATACAGTTCATTTATTTTCTAGTATTTTTCCTTCCTTACCCATAGTTGTCCCTCTCAAATTCCAAGAAGGAAGATGAACCCTTTGTGCTACTTAGTCTCAGGGGAGGTTTGTGTTAATAGTCAGAAAGCAAAGTTGTTTGCAGATTATTTGCCTTCTTGCTTTAATTTTCAGAGAGCCTGAAGGTAAGAGGTGACTTGTCTCTGAGGACAATGACAGAGAAAACATTTCCCCAGGACTAGGAAGAGAACAGAGATCCTAGGGTTCTGTGAAAGGTGGTGATCCTTAACCAACTCCCCCAAAGAGTGCCAGGTCTGATCCTTACGATACACTGAAACACAAATATCAGTGGCAGTTAGGGAGGAATGAACATTAGAGAACCTCCTCCATTTACTGAGTAACACAGAAGCCACCTAGATTCTAGTGTGATTATAGACAGAAGGCAGGATATAAATAATGACTTGAGATTCAGTTTCTTGCCAGTTTTACTGGATGGTAGCTCACAGTTGGATTGCCTAGAGCTATCTGGCAATATAGGGATTAATCCCAGTAAAGCACAATTGATTAAGCTGTTTATAAAACTCTTCTATTTTTTTTTTTGTTTTTCAGACAGAGTCTTATTCTGTTGCCCAGGCTAGAGTGCCATGGCATCGGCCTCGCTCACAGCAACCTCAAACTCCTGGGCTCAAGCGATCCTCCTGCCTCAGCCTCCTGAGTAGCTGGGACTACAGGCATGTGCCACCATGCCTGGATAATTTTTTCTATATATTTTTAGTTATTCAGCTAATTTCTTTAGATTTTTAGTAGAGACGGGGTCTCACTCTTGCTCAGGCTGGTCTCGAACTCCTGACCTTGAGTGATCCTCCTGCCTCGGCCTCCCAGAGTGCTGGGATTATAGGCGTGAGCCACCACGCCCAGCCAACTCTTCTATTTTTGAAGAGTTTTTGCATATAATTTGAGAAAGAATCAGGTATACAAATTACTCGAGGATAATTTCAGCCATGGACATGCTGATATATTAAAAAATACTTTATTTAGCTCATATTTCTTTATTTATCTTGAAGGGTATTTAGCTTTTCCTTAGATTCCAGCATCATAAAAATAATGTTTAATATAAAGAACTACAGCTTTAGGAAAATTAGCAATAGTGCTGTGACTTTTTTCAATTCTTAGTTAAATTTTAAATTTGCAAAAATCATCAATTCTTATAAGCTAGTTTCTTTCAGGCCTTAATGCTGTCTATATATTTTAAACCACAGCATTACTTTATATTTATTGGTGTTATAAAAAATCAGCCAAACCTTGGAAATAAAGCAAAAAGTGGGTGATACATCTTTTCAGTGTCATGAAGTGATAAAATCTACCCAGTGATTACTTAAGGAACACACTCAGCTAGACTCAATGTTTACTTGTGATTAAAAGCCCCAGACTTAGTAAAATTATATTAACTTGTAGATTTATGCCTGATAGAATAGATAACTATTGAAATTATAGTTTATTGCCCTGTGTCTAACCTACAAATCTTATCCTAACATTTTTTTATTCAATTCAATATGCAAATATTTAGTTATAGACACAGTCATAGATATACAGGTTGAGCATCCCAAATCTGAAAATCTAGAAGCTGAAACTTTTTGAATGCTAACATGACACTCAAAAGCAATGCTCATTGGAGCATTTTAGATTTCAGATATTCAAATTTGAGATCCTCAATTGGTAAGTATTATTATAAATAATGCAAATATTCTCAAATCCAAAAAATCTGAAATCGGAAACACTTCTGGGTCCATGCATTTCACATAGGAACACTTAATCTGTATATAGGTAGATATAGATATAAATATATAGATTCTCAATTATATGAAAGTCACAATTTTATCTTTTTAATGACTATATTTTAAAACTGATAATAAAGTCAGTTGCTTTACCTTTAAGCCTTCTGGTCCTGGTTCACCTGCATATCCCTTTTGACCTGGTTTTCCCTAGAAGAGAAGAGAATAAAAGAAAAAAAGAGGTATGTTTAGTCATTCTCATTTTTGAAAGTTTCCTAAGGTTTATGAAATTTAGGCTATTCTTATAAAATGAATAAGAAATTATTTGATAGATGTATTTTATCGTACTCATTAGCCATTCATTCTACAACTATTTGACTGTCTACTATGTGCCATGCAGAGTTCTAGGTGCTGAGTATCAAGGAGTACACTAAATATACCTGCCCTCAAAGAGCTTGTATTTTAGTGGGGATAACAAGACTTTTAAAAATAAGTAAAATATATAGCATGTTAGGTAGTGCTACTAGGAAGGACAACAAATTAAACAGGTAAGAGAGACATAAACTGCTTTGAGAGTTTTGTTGAATGTTTTCATAAGATTTCCAGGGAATAAGACCTCACTGAAAAGGTGGCATCTGAGTAAATACTTAAAGAAAGGGACAAGTTATGTGGCTATCTAAAGGAAAAGTATTCCAGGTAGAGGGAAAGAGCAGGTGCAAAGCCACGACTCCTGGCATGCACGTGGTGTGTTGGAGGGACTATGAGCTGGAGAAGAATTAAAAGAAGAGAAGATCAGCAAGGAGATGGAGATGAGGTCAAAGTAAGGAAAGGGGGCTGGGAAGTCAGGTCACCTAGAGCCTTGGGAGTTACAGTAAGGGCTTTGGCTTTCACTCTGAGACAAGAAGCCTTACACAAGCTTTGACAAGAAAACTGATAAGCTCTATGTTTTAACAGGATCACTCTGATGCAAGTACAGAAGCAGGGAGTCCAAATAACAGTCTATTGCAATAATCCAAGTGATATATTATGGTGGTATAGATCAGGGTGGCAGCAGAGGAGCCTCCAAAAAGTGGTAAGATTCTGGACATAGTTTGAAGGTAAAGCCTCCAGGAACAGCTGGTAGGTTATGTGTGGGATGCAGGAGAAATAGAAGAGTCAAGAATGAACTCAAGACTTTTAATCTGAGTAATTGAACAGATAAAATCAGGAAGGCTAAAAAGAACAGGTTTAGAGAGTAAGTTAGAAGCTGAGTTTTGGACATTTTAGTTTCATATGCTTGTTAGGCATCTAAGTGGAGAGATATTGTGGTAGTTACACAAATCCAGAGTTTAGCAGGTAGAAGGTTCTGATTTGAAGTTATAATTTTTGAAATCATCAGCATTTTGGTGGTATTTAAAGCTATAAAACCAGAAGAGCTCATCTAGGTAGTGAGGGTAGACAGAAATGAAAAGAAGGTCACAGATCAAGCCTTGGGGTACTTCAACATGTAGAATTTGAAGAAATGAGGAAAATAGGAAATTTGATGATAGAGAGTTAGGAGGAAAATCATGCAAGTGAAGAAATTGTTTCCAGGGAGAGCGATATTGTCAAATTCTGAGGGCATGAGTGCTGAATAATATGAGGATTATGAGGATTGAGAAATGACCACTTGATTCAGCTACACTCATAACCTTTGTAAGATCATTTGTGTTGGAGTGGTGGGGACAAAAGTGGTTTAAGCACATAGAAGAGAAAAATGGGAAAGAGCATGTATAGAAAACACTTTTGAGGAGTTTTATTGAAAAGTAAAGGAGCAAAATAAGGTAATACCTGGAGGGGAAAGTCAGGTCAATGCAAGTTTTGTTTTTGTTTTTAAGATGGAAGAAATAATAACATGTTTATATGCTGATAGGATGATTCAAAAGAGAGAAAAAAATTAACATACAGGACAGAGAAGGGAGAACTTCTGGATCAATGTTCTTGAGTACCCAAGAGAACAAGGTAGGTAGTGAACAAGTGGGAGTTTAGACCTTAGCTAAAAAGATGGCCTATTTATCCACAATAACAGGAGAGAAGGCAGAGTAGTAAACGGGCATAGAAGGAGGGGGGTAGATGCAATGAAAGAAAATTGTGAAAGTTCTCTTTTGATTACTTTAATCTTCTCAGGGAAGTAGGAAACAAGGTAAAGGTTTAGAAAGAGAATGAGAGAGAAGTCAATGGAGTTTGAAGAGAGAAACAGTATGAAATAATTTAGAAAAGTAAAAGATTAAATTGGTATGAAGAGAGAATTCAGAATGTAATCAAAGCGATAATTATAATGTCTTAAACAGGATGAGGAGGGATATGGAGTCTAGAGGGAGATAAGGAAGAATGGAAAAGCAACAGGATTAATGGATTGAAATTCTTATTGGGGCTGTTAGATTGGACTTCAAGAGAAAATATATCAGAAAGAAAGAAGATGGTGGTTGGGGAGTGGATAAGATCACTAGAGGAGAGAAAGTCAATATCCTGGATATTGGCTGTATTAACCTATAGTATATAGTTTCTAATATCAGTCAACTGCTATCTTATTATAAAATATTTGACTAGGGAGATCCCTATGCCTCAACCAATATGGGTGACAAACTCAAATCCATGAGGAAAAAAGAGGTGGGGAAAGACTGCTACATAGAACACTAAATAATAGTATCTACCAGGCATTCTATATTTGGATTTTACTATTGTTGTCTGTTAAATATTCTTATACTTTCCCCTCTTAAAATACAGTGAAACAAAACAATCCTCAGGATCTCATTCTGTTTTATTTTTTTTTTTAATTTTTTTTTTATTTCAGCATATTATGGGGGTACAGATGTTTAGGTTACGTGTGTTGCCCTTGGTTCCCCCCCGCCAAGTCCGTGTCTCATTCTGTTTTGACCACATACAAAAGCTTTAGCAACTTAAAATTGTATTTAGGACTTCTAGCCAAAAAGTTCTTCTAATTTTTGCTTCTGCCTTGCTGAAATTATCTAATGATTTTCTACCAAGCACAAAACAGAGCAAAGAATTGAAAATCATCCTATTTTTATTAAATATCAATTTTTCTCTAATTAATTTGGTGAGATAGGACAAGAAATCTCGTTAGGAGTCCAAATGATTGGATCTGTCTATGATATTTACAAAATAATTTCAGTAATCCATTTTTATTTACACTGGTTGAAAAGAGCCTTTGCTAGAATATTCATTTCATGTTTAATAGCATAAAATTCAGGTACTACAGTATATTAAGAAATAGTTATACATCATATCTACATTACGGAAAGAATCTCATTGGAATCTGGCATCAGCATATTTATAATTTCTTTGAAATCAAGTAATTCAGAGCATTACTAATGGAGTTATAACCTATTCCTATTTAAATTCTATCATATTAGATTGATTTTGAGAATGTTATACTTGAACATGTAATATTGAAACCTTATTTTTACATCTAAAAAATGGGGGCAATATCTTTTACAGTTGTTTCAGGATTAGAGATGATTTATATGACATACTTATAGCAATTGCAGGCCCGAAATGATTTTCAACCAACCGTAGAAAGAATAATAATAAATAAATAATAAATATAAAAACTGAGTAGACAAGAAGTAAGTATGGTTCCCCTATTTTCCAAGGGAAATCAATTGATTTTAAATAAAATCAATTTCACTAGGCTCAAATAATATTTTTTTCTGTTATATAACTCTCCTTGAAAAAAATAAATTAAAAATTCTTTTTCTTTCAATGGGATAGTCACAATATATGTACTAGTGGGGTAAAGATGCAAAAGAAATAATTATTGTCGCTTTAAATGTGAAAATGTTTTAAGAACCAGCACTTTAGGTATTATGTTCTCAAGAAAAGAGAATGAGATATATTTCATGTGAATCTAATGCTTCTTAAAGTAAATGTAACACATATACCTTAATATTTCATGATAATGTAAACTTTGATCATGATACCAAAAATGCTTTAAGAATTCATTTCAGAACCTGAAAACAAATAATTCATATATAACCACATGGTATTACTTGATGAAATTGGAGAAAATTCATATTATTAGTTTTCCATAATTTTACTAACACACTTAGAAAACAAAAATTCCCAGAATATTAATAAAATGGCTAAAGTATTTAGCTTCCTATTACATTTTGAGAAATTTATAAATAATTTGCACAAATTACTAGGACCAAAAGACCACTGAAAAAAACTAGCAAATAATATGATAAGCATAATATCATTCAAAATAATCCTGAAAATTCCAGTTATTGGCCTATTTTATCTTAGGAGGTTTTATAGCTATGGTTTGCTTTAATTTTTATCTTTTGCTGTAATTTAAAATTATGTGCTATTAAAAATATTTACAGAACAACTGATTTCAAAAGAAGCATGTGTGAAAAATTATTTATATCAGACTTACTCTTGGCCCCAGTTCTCCAAAGGGTCCAGTTGTTCCTTCTTCTCCCTTAAAAAAAATGAGAACATATCATGGCCTAAAACAAGTTTTAAAAATGTAAACCCTTATTTTCTCTATTTATTCTGAAGTGTGAAGTTCATTCTGAGACGTGATGAAAACAATGCTGCGATTTTCTCATATTTTAGAACTGTATCACCCCATCACACTTTTTTGTATGACAACCCCACGTCTACCCTAAGAGAGGCATGTATTAATACTATTGGGTTATTCGTTTAATTTTTATTTTTAACTATTATGGGAACATAATAATTCTATATAATTATGTGGTACACGTGATTTTTCATACAGGTATACATTTGTATATGATCAAATCAGGTTAATTGAGGTATCTATCACCTCAAGAATTTATCATTTCTTTGTGTTGGGAATATTCCAATTCTACTTCTTTGATTTTTAAAATATATGACAAATTATTGTTAACTATATTCACTCCGTTGTGCCCACCAAATACTAGATCTTATTTACCTTATCCATTCTATCCCACTGTATTTGTGCACCCTAACCACCTCCACTTATCCCCCCGACCATGCTACCCTTCCCAGCCTCTGGTAACAATCAATCTGCTCTCTATCTCCATGATTTCAATTTTTAAAACTTTTGGCTCCCACATGTGAGTGATAACATGTTAAATTTGTCCTATGCCTGGCTTATTTCACTTAACATGATGTCTTTTAGTTCCATCCGTGTTGTTGCAAATGATAAGATTTCATTCTTTTTTATGATTGAATAATATTCTATTGTATATATGTATGGCATTGATAGATGATACAAGGTATATATAGAATATTGTGAGTGGAGAAGAGTGAAAGTGATTAGGGTATCACAAACCGGGAGGATGAATCACTGAGACCATTAGTTATGGATAATCTTTAATTTCTTGGGTTTAGTATCTCTCTGACACAGTGAGGAACTGGACTAAGTTCCTAACAAAAGAAAATAAATACATATTGGTAAATTAAAAATTTACTTATATAGAATATGTTTGCTGTAGGTACATTTTGATACTTCTTTCATTCAATAACTATGTTTTTGAGTCTCAGTTCTCTCTTAAGCTCTAGAAATACAAAGATATATCAGATCCCATCTAATGGGAGCTAATGTCTAGAGCTTACTTTTGACTAATGTATAGGTCCAATATTCTTAGGGTCAAATCAGCTATAATGTCATAAAATATAAAAATCTGGTATATTCTTGTTGGGATCAAAAACTATATGGTGAGACACAAAAATGAACTTTTATCCATTATTTTCTAAGAGAATAAAAAAGTAATAAATGTTTTCACTTCATTTAAAGACATATTTACTAAATATCCTGATTTACCTTTACATAAATAGTTGATGTTACCACATCTGAATAATATATATAGACCTTGCTAGAATCATATAGTGTATCTTATTCATTTGATAAACATGTTCCTTAATTCATAATTATATTAAAATATAATTTATTGGCTCATAAATATAAAATAGTCACAAATAGTAAATATAAGTTCTAGTACATATGAGTGAGACTCTGGGTGCATATTCTTCAGACATTCTATTGGAAATCACTGACATAAATCACTTAATGAATTCAGAACACTGTAAAATGATTCCAAATATCCTATAACTGCCAATATAAAATGGTAACTCAAAATTCTCGATAGCAAAAATTGTCCACACTAATACAATGGTTGCTTTAAGCCAAAATTAAAGTCCCATAATAAATAAAAAGGAAAAATTTGAATTAAACACCTAGCTGACCTATCCATTCGTTTCCTCCATACCTGAGTTCCTTTGAGACCAGGAGGTCCAGGAGGCCCTCTATTTCCAAGGAGTCCCTGTAAAAGCAATATAAGAATACATAATACAAATTCTAGATCAATTGACATTTTGATCAATCAGAATTAATCTGGAAAAGGGCAATACTAATTGGTATTACTCATTTCCTATTAAAAAATTATCAAAATAGGGGTAGGAAGATAGATGAGTGGAAAACCACAGGGCATTCAAAACATTGGGAAACAGGATAAACTCATTTGTAAACATTATATTAATGTTCAAATAATCTGCTTGGTATGTTATTCTTCAACCTCCAAACAACTTTTCAGAAAAAGCATTTCTAAATTTAAAGTAATGGGTCCAATTGTTAAGTTGGTAATAGTATAATAAATATATAATAGCGTGTCCACAAAGTCTGAAAACAGATGAAGGGGATAAATAGTGTTTTAATATCTGTGAAGAGACCGGCAGAGTCTGGAACTCATTACTTGCTAGTTTTGAATAATTCATTAGTTCTTCGTTACTCATTAGTTGAAGAACAGAATGTTATTTTCAAGACAAGATGGTAAAAAGAGAAGGGCAATTTGCAGAAGAAAATGACAGTATGAATTGGGCCAGGAATTTCAAGTCTATAAAAAATATTTTGTTAAACAAAATACAAGTTGTTAAAAATTAATTGCTCTTTGGATGAAAACCTGTTCAAAGTAACTAAAAAACGTCCTAACTCAGGAAACACCCTACAACATGTATTTAACATGGCAACATTGTATCCAAGTGGGGTTAATATTCAAAATACATAAGGAACTCCTATAATTCAATAGAAAAAAAAAAACAAATAAGCCAATCAAAAAAATTGGAAAAGGATTTCTAGGTATTTATCCAAAGAAATTGAAAACAAGATCTCAAAGAGATATTTGTACTCCTATGTTCATTGCAGCTTTATTCACAATAGCCAAGAGGTGTAAACAACCTAAACGTCCACTGACACACAAATGAATAAAGAAAATGTATATTATTGAGCCCTAAAAAAGAAAATCTTGTCATATGCTATAAGATGAGTGAACCCTGAGGACATTATGCTAAGTGAAATAAGCTAGTCACAGAACAAAAAATGCATGATTCCACTTATTGAGGTATCTAAAGCAGTGAAACTTACGGAAGCAGGAAATGGAATGGTGGTTGCTAGGGGCTGGGGGGAAGGGGCAATGAGGAGTTGCTGTTCTATGGGTATAGAATCTCAGGCATACACGATGGAAAAGTTCTAGAGATCTGTTGTATAACAATGTGCATACATTTTAAGTGTTACAATACTGTACAGTAAAAAATTTAAGACGGTAGATTTCAAGTTATGCACTTTTTACCACATTAAAAAAAAAATCTCCCATGGGCTTGGTTAGTATTCAAACTCTTCCACTTTATACTTAAGATCTGTCCCACTCTGCTTCCTGCCTTTTTTTTTCAGTCAGGTAGGTTTACTTTTGCCCACCATCCCGGTGTTCATTTTGTACCTGTTGCATGGAATGTCTCATCCCTTGGCTCCACTTGGCCAAATCCAACCTGGCCAATTTAAATCCCAATTTCTCTATTGAGTCTCCCAGAAAAACGGCCACACAGATTATTCTCTCCTCTGAACTCCTTACTACTCACTTATATGCATTTTAACTTTTTACATGTGCTCAAGTTTCAGAGGATTACAAGTTCCTAGCAGACAGAAGATCAAGTTTTAATTTTGATTTCAAGTCACAGTACACTGCCCATTGTATAAACTCAATAAATATTTCTCAGCTAACTAAATGCTGCCTGGAGAATAAAATGGTTTATATTAATATAAGAAACCTGTGTATAAAATCTTGATACAACACATAGAATGTAACTCTTCAGGACTGGGTTGAGGTGATCTTAGAGAACTGTTTAGAGTTATGCATCTTCCTCTTACCAAGTTACCTCACCTCTATACAGACAAATATATGACATATTGTAATAATTCAGTGCAGGAACTATTTCCACATATTATGCAACATAATCTCACATAGTAAGCTTTCTCTAAAACTTTATCAGGGCTGTTACAAAAGAGACAATAAAAGCATGTTTTAACATTCCTAATTCCATAGCCATAGTAGAAACATAAGCCTTTATAGCAACAAATAAATTATTCCTCTGTTTACTGGAGAACAGAGAATATTTATTGGATATTCTTACTTTCTGCAGTAAGCAGCAAAGGATGTGGTTTTGCTAATGTTATGAGATTCCTGAAAGCAGACTGCCAAATTGGGTAGCTCTCAAGAAGACTTACTGAAGTGTTTTGTATCTTCATACAAATATACATGCACATACAACTCCATAATCAATATAACCATAATTAACACAAGTTTCCAATCCTACTTTGAGGGTTTTAGTGAATTGGCAGAAAATGAACAGAAAATAAAAGGCTTTTTTAAAGCTGTGCCAAATTGCTCTGGAAAGGACCCAATGTGTCTGCAAATAGGGTAACCATGTATTTCCAAGACAGTGCACATGATTTTCTTGATGACCATGTTGCACAGCCTCAACAGAGCTTTAGTAATTTACATTATCCCTTCTTTACAAACAAGACATGTATATAAAAATAAAGGAAGTTTTAAGATGCTTCTGTGATACAGTATACACAGCTGAAGAAACATATCATGTTAACAAGGTCAGTATGTTGGGCTCGGTTTTCCCCCTCTGTTTCTAGAAACAATTTCAAGGCAAAGGAGAAAGATTGATAAAATATTCTTTTAAAATTCAGTGATGTGTATGAAATCAATTACTCTTACATTGTTTGTTGGTACTTATGACTCTACAAACTCATGCTTATTGAATAAATTTAGATAAAGTAAATCACAAAGTAATTATTATCCATTGGAAATTCAACTATTGGTGTTCATTAAAATGTCTAGTTCTCCAATCTTTTGCCCACTTTTAACATTCTAACTTTAAGACTAAAAGAAGTAGTGAGAAGGAAGTCCTAAAGATCTAATAGTTTTAAAGAGGTCACTTGGCTTTCTTCATTTCTGATATTTTTCTTGATAAAATTGCAAGATAAACAAAATCTCCAAGCTGAAAAGAATTTTGAAAGCTATCTGGTTCTTCACCTCATGATATGCACACTTAAAAACATTAAGCTCAATTATCACTTTCACTTGAAGTATGTATTTCTCAAGACAATCTGTTGCTCAATTATGTAGGTCTCTCATTGTACTTCACCAAATCTGTTATATAGAACTCCTTATGCTTTGTGATGATTTTCTAAATTTTTGTCTCTCACTAAATTGTAACCTGATCTGGGAGAGGAACCGTAGTTTAGAAATCTTTATAATCCCACGTTTAGTACTTGGCCTAACACAAAGAATAAACTCAATAAAGGTTGAATAAATGAATTATTGAATGAATGGATAAATAAATATGTTTATATCTGTATCAAGTTCAAACTCCTAAGTATGAGCTAGAATAGGAGAAATCCTCAACTCCACTCTCTATACTACCTGTCTGTCTCTCTCTCTCAATTTCCCTTTATGCTACTATCTCTACTTTTCACCTTGGTTTACTACAGCCTATCAATTATTTCTACCTAGATGTCAAACTGTCACCTTAAACTAAATATATCCAGAATCAAATTTCTTGTCTTTCCATCTTCCAAACCTGCTCCTCTTCCTGAGTTCCCTATTTGAATTCAGGGACATTGGTAACCCAAGCCAGTCTATTTTATCTTTGACTTCTCTTTCTTCTACCACCTTTATTAATCAGTTACCAAATTGTATTGTTTCTATTTCCAAAATAGTTTTTTTTTTTTTTTTTTT